TTTTTGTCATAACATTTTCTTCTTGTATTTCTATGTTTTCGTTTTCTTCAATCACTTCCTTAAAGCATTACAATAAGGTTTCAAGTTATACAACTTGCATTCAATCACAAATCAGAATTATCTATGATAAATGGTCAAATTTGATGTTTACTACTTGTATTCACTATTCAGTGTTAACCAAAACGCAAAGGTTTACTAATAAGGAAAACAGAGAATTCAGGACAATGACATGAACAATATAATTTAGAGATGAATTTATTATCTGTTTCATGTTTAAGATGTTTTATCTGTCAAATGCATTACTTGGATTAAGACAACTAGGCATGCTTTAAGTGGTCTGTTTTGGCACCTTCCAAGTATTCCTTGACAGCAGTATATACGACTCTGGGCAATTCCCAGTGTTTGTTGTTTCCCAGTGTTTGTTGAACAAGGCAATTCTGTCTGTGGCTTCAAAATACCTAGCTTTGGATCGGCCTGACTGCTCTTAATACTTTCTTGCTTTTGGTCTAAAGGTACACTATTTTCATTTTTGTTACTGAACCTCAGCTTGAGAGTGTTTGTTGTATTATCTTTTTTTACTCCACTTCTTGTAGGTAAGCCAATGGTGTGCAAAACATTTAAACATGTCTGTAATGTCGATGGAGGAATCTTCGAAAATCATCATCACTAACTATTCGTACCGTATCATGAAACTCGTTTTGTTAAGAGCTTTTCACCTTTCTTTTGAGACAGAAAGTACACTCTATCGTTCGTGATTTTAAAGGCTGTGCAAGTGGTAATTGACTATTGTTCGTCTGTGCAAAGAGTACTCTCCAACAATGAATCAGCACATAGATGAAATCAAGACTAACGGAAATGTAGGAAAGGCAAGGATGGAGGAAGGCAACACTGTGTGTAATTTTGTAAGCATTATTGCGCTGGGAGTTTACCTTCGGATGATAAAGATAAGGATGATAATTGCGCTGGGAGTTTTTCCCTATTTTGGGTTGCACTAGCGGATGATAAAGATGGACTTTTGTTGATGATGAGGGTTCACTTTTACGATAAGATTTGTATGCCAATCATGGGGACTTGAAATATCACTAACAACAACAAAGTGAAAATTTATATATAAGGACCAGGATTCTAAAAAAGAATCCACAATATACAAGGACCAGGAC